AACAACAACAACAACAACAACAACAACAACAACAACAACAACAATAACAACAACAACAACAACAACAGCACACATCAATTCACTTAACTGTCAACACGACTCCACACAATCCGTGCTACATGTTGCACACTACCACAAAACTCCTCCAACACACTCCACCTCAGCATCATATGTCGCCTCACTAACTGAGCGCGAAGTCCCAATTCATCCGCACATTCACCTCTCGCCGTCCACCAACACTTCCACCCACAACGTTACAGTCTACTCCTCAACCACTTCATCCCCTCCCCCAACACCACGGCCTTTCCAGTCCAAAAAGACTTTGCTGCAAATGAAGACCATCACGGAGGACCAATCGCACTTCTCATCCATCTTGCATCTCCTCAAACCAACACCTTCACATTTCTACCAACTCCCTGTCATACCATTGCCACTTGCAGATAGCACCCACGCTGCCGTCACCAGGCTCACTAACACTACCCACAACCTCCACGTCTAGCACGCATACCAAACACAAACACAACGTTCACTCCTCCAATCCCCTCCTGCCGTCACATTCGCGGCCAATCTCCACCCCTGCCGATGCACCACCATCATAACGCTTCTTGCCTCCCCAATGTTCCCTTTCATTGCCTGCAAACCTGTTCCATCTGCCCGCCATACAGCCAGCTGCACAATCGATTCGCACTACTTTGCCCATCCAACACCATCTTGCCTCTTCTCCTCCTCCACCTCTCGCCTTCATAAGGAGAATGAAGACGTCAATATTAGACGTGCAACGTTGTGGACCCTCCCTGTCCACTCTCATGCCTTTCAAACTCAACATACTGCTGATGGTTAGCTGTATGGTTTGCTGAATGAAGGCATATGGTGAGGATAGATGAGACGGAAAGCAGACGTCAGTCTGCGACGGAAGTGCCACGCCACTCACGCACTGCATTCGTGTGCGATTTTATTTCCGCCTTCTCCCTTACAAAGGCAAACCTAAACATAAGCCCACCTTCTGCTTTCAGAAGCGTCCCTTGTGCTGGCCAATGGAGTTGCATGAGGTGGCTTCCCTTCCTCTGCCAACACACAACCTTCGGCTTCGTAACCAATGCAGTGGGAGGGGGTGGACCCCTACATGGCCCAATCTTGTTACGATGTACTGTCAGCGGCTGAGCGCCGATCTCCGCATTCCGGATGAGGTATTTCGTGGAGGACAGGACTTCCATCATTAGCTAGGCCTTCTAGCTGCCGGCTTTGTAGCTGCAGGGATGCCAGAATTTGCGATGGGTTGCCGGTGGGAGGATTGGTCCGTACAATTGCACCAGATCTCCTCCCTTCAAGGCGTTTCGTCGCCTCTGTCTATCGTGGGATCTCTCTTGCCAGCCCAGCATAGGCTTTCTGCCGTTGTCTGTGTGCAACAGGAAACACTTTCCTCAGACGTGCCTTTGGTCGCCAGACATATTGGTGGGAGTTATTCACTGACGATTTCTTGCGAGGAGGCCAAATGTCGGAAGGAACTCTCATTTCACGGTCTGTGAGCTTATTGGAACGTGTGATTGCAGTTGAGGTGTGGGCGGAGGCTCGGTAAGCAAGGAGGCTCCACTCTACATGTAGATTGCAGCCATCGAGCTGTACTTCTGTAGCAAATGTCTTCAATACGTCGACAAGTGTAGGGTTTGTCCTTTCTACGACCTCTCGTCGCACGCGTTTTACGGATTCCAGAGTCTTTGCACAGCTCTTTGAAGGGACCTATAAAAGCCCGTGGACATCGGTGCCAGAGGAGCGCTACCACGGTGCGATTTGAGTTCATGAAGGTGGCACAAGTGTCGCACGTGTGGCACATATAGGAGACATGCGACGTCAGTGAGGTCCACAAGTCCATGTTATTCATGCAACTGCAACGGAGGTGTCTGCGAGAAGGAAGCCAGTACTACGAGGCGATTAAAGAGCAGCTGCGTTGTCGTCTTCGTACCACATGAGGTCATCATCTAGGTAGAATTATTGCCAC